GAGCAGAGATTCCCCTAAAGCCCTTGGCACAGACCACAGTGAGGCAGGCTGTGCCCCTGCAGCCCATGGAGGTTAACAGTGGAGCAGATCTCCACCTGCAGCCGGTGGAGGACTCCACATCAGAGCAGGGGAGGCTGTGATGCCATGGAAAGCCCACGCTGGAGCAAACACTTTGCAGAACCTGTGGCCCCATGGAGAGAGGAGGCCAAACTGGAGCAGATTTGCTACAGGAACTGTTACTGGGAGACTCATGCTGGAGCAGTCTGTTCCTGAAGGACTGCACCCATAGAATGGACCCACTCTGGAACAGGGGAAGAGTGTGAGGAGTCCTTCCCTGAGGAGGAAGAAGTGGCAGAGACATGTGAACCAACTGCAGTTCCCATTCCCCCTCCCCTTGTGCTGCTGGAATTGAAGAGAAAGAGGTAGAGAAAATCAGGAATAAAGTTAAGCCCAGAAAGAAGGGAAGCATAGGAGGAAGGTGTTTCAAGATTTGATTTTATTTTCTCATTACCCTGTTCTAATTGCCAATAAATTGAATTAATTTTCCCCCAAGTCAAGTCTGGTTTGCCCATGGCAGTAATTGGCAAGTGAACTCTCTTTGTCCTCATCTTACCTGAGCTTTTCACTGTATTTTCTCTCACCTATGCAGCTGAGAAGGGGGGTGATAGAGCAGCTTTGGTGGGCAACCCCAGCACACCAGGGTCAACCCACCACAGCATAAGGTATCATTTAAATCCAAGTAATACACATTTGAATTTAAGACAGAAGTTAACGTATTGTATCAGATATGACACCTGAACTGTAATTTCTGCTCCTAACAGATTCTTTAGTATACCTTTTCAAGGGTGTTTTTTTATTTTTCCATTTCCCAAAATAGCACCTATGTTATATATGACCCTCTTCCCATAACCTTTTGAGATTTTTAAGAGTTGGACAGCCTTAATAAGGGTCTTCTAGCTTAATTGCATAACTGAGTGCACACTGGCATGATTTCCACTTAAAAACTTGAAATCCTACACCTTTATTCTGGGCTTTGTTCCAATGTAGGTCCTATAAAAAGGTCAAAAACAAGCCAGTTCCTCTCCATTTCCTTGAAATACAAAGATACCATGACTTACACACAGCCTAGCATAACAAGCAGCTGCCAATCAGTGACTGGCAAACCCAGCTGCCATACCATGATTTCTACCCATTTCTCACTGCCACATGGCAGACTGCAAAGTTGTAACCTGCTTTGGAATTAAAGTTGTCCAAGATGCAGACCATTTCCCAAAGACCTGAAGTTTGGGCGCTGGGAAGAAGGATGTGGAAGAACACACAACCAAAGAGACAAAGCAAGGCTCACCAAAGAGAACTCGTATTCAGCTCCCAACTGACATGGAATTACTGGCAAAAAGCCATTTTACCTTCTTTCCTCACCTCTATTTCTGCTCCACATCAATTGAAAAACACAAAAGTTAGAAACTAGTAGGCTGAACAGGGATAATTCATACATCATCCAGATAAAGGCAATTCAGCAGGTTTTGGTCTTTCAGTATCATCCTTTGTCAGAGGGAATATGACAGGTAAATCCAATAACATGAGATAACACAGATGGCTTTCCAACCCACAGTCAGTAACAGCAGTGAAAAAAATCAAGGCTGAATACCAGGCTTAGCCTCTTTCAGGAGAGGAATTCTTACTGCAACTCTTGATCCCAAGACCTCAGTTTTCCCAAGAAAAAAGTTTCTACAGCATGTTTATTTATTCATTTGCTTGTCCTGACTGGGTTTTTTCCCAGAGAAAGCCCTGAATATAATTTATCTTTCCAGGGTGACACCTGGAGACCTCCATTTTTTTGTTGATTTTTTTCCAGCTTTATTTACTTAATTTTTTATATTCTATATTTTTTTTAAACACATGTGAATTCTAGTGGATTTACCATAGCAAGCTCACAGTTAGTAACTTCAGCAGAAGGTAGAAGTTGATGAAAGGAACCATATCTTGAAGCAGAGAGAACAGAACCTAAATTAAAACATTGGATCAGGCACCAGCTTTTCCTCTGGTCCTTCATGAGCCACAATCCCTTTCTGTCCCTGCTCTCTATTAGGAAGATCATTAGCTGAATAAATGATAGCTAAGAACCCATTAACTAAAGTCAGATTTACTAGGCTTGATCAATTAGATTTTCAAGTGTAAAAAGATCCTAACATACAAGTCTTAAGGAGAAAGCTCCTTCTGCCAAATGTATTAATTTCTGATCACTGCCTCCCTTTTTAAATCCCTTCTCAATTTTTTCTTCAAATTGAGAGGTTTGGGGAAGTAGGGGGAACAGATTATACTTTCTGATATTCACTACAAGACTTGTCCTTCTGTTTTCAATTTTAATTATTTATTTCACTTTTTCTTTCCTGATCTCAAACCCCGAGCAGGGAAGGAAAAGCAAGATGGATCCTGCTCAATAAACACAACTGGATTTCATATTGCTGATTTGGTTCTTTTTCCCAGGGTTCATACCAAGGCTACAGTGATACTGCTGGCTGTAACCATTCAAGCTCGACAGCCCAGTGGGACCAATTACTGCATTTACAGTAAAACATGCAAGGAAATGTATCTCCCTATCTCCATATAGCCAAGTTTACTGAAGGATAACCTACTACATTACACAGATTAATACTCCAGTGACTAAATTAATCCTTAGAATTTCACTCACTACTTGAGGCTTATAAATTTTAATTGGTTCTAAACCACCACATGAATTTATGTGAATGTATATTGATGAAGAAGAAGGGTTCAGAAATTACTCTATTAACACTCAGAGCTCAGAGATAACAGTATATGTTGGGACCAATTTATAAACATATATAAATGTTTGCAAAGCAGGATTCAAACTTGTTTTAGAGGTGCATTATCATAGTTTACATATAACTCCACTGAGGAGGAAAGCTGCAGCATTAGATGAGAATGAAAGGCAGCTTCAAAAAGTGAAATGTTACTATTTTGCTAACAGATAGATCCAAAGCTGAAGGGTAAGCAGTGCTTGTGCTGTTTTTGATTGTACCATTATTGATGACAGTCAATCAATACTAGCAGTACAGCAATTGGAACAGCTTTCTGATATGCTGACACCTTGTTACACCATGCAAGTGGTTAGTTCTGTAACAATGAAATATAACACCAGGTTTCTATAGGGATTAGAAGTGCTTAACAATACCAACTGGCATCTTCAGGAAATCATACAGCTTCAGAAAGTTTTGTCATCGGGACAAAACTTTGCCTTTGGTATGTGGTTATTTACAAAAGATTCACTAGTTCACTGGTTGAACCTTTTAACGGTGAATCAAGGTAGAACTGGCTCCTTAAAATGCTGTAAGAGCAGTCTAAAATGTTGTGTTGTGGGTTTTTAAAAAAAAACAAACAAAACATTTACCATAATATAGTTTGTTAATCCTGAAACATAGCAATGATTATTTGAGTTACAGTATTACAAAGTGTTCTACTTGTGCCCATGATAGCAGGGGCATCCATTACATGTTATCCATCTTTGCGAAATACAGCAGCAGTTAACAAGGTAGAGAATTGGAGAACCAACCTACTCTAAAATAATTAATGTCAAGACTTCTCGAAACCAGTAATATGAAAGGTCAAGTCTATCTCCTTTCTCCTGCCCAAATGTAAATAGCTTACTGAAAGCCAGGAAGCAAAACTGCTACCCAAGGACCACTTCCCATCCTTGCATGACAGTTATGCACATTTTCAGTTTACACATGTGACACACAAAAGTAATTCTGATACCACACTAATCAATTGCATATACTAGGAATGTAAATAATATATGAAATAGTGGGAGGCTGCTTTTTTCATACTTCTTTCCACAACTACACAAGATTTCCAGAAGCATTTTCAAGATGTCTGTGGAAAATCAAACATCTTGGAACAGAATTTTTTGTCACAAATTCCTTTAACTTCCAGTAGTTTATTGTTTGGGATGTCTCATTCAGCATCATTAGGAGTGAAGCTGTTATACAGAGGAAAAAGGCCATAAGGCTAAAATGGCCCATGGAGTCTTTTCCATCTTCACAGAGCATCACTACAAACATTTAAAGGGGAAAATATGTGGTGCATCCCATGCTCAGACTGCCTTTCAGACCACAATTTCAAGCTTGTGAACAGATTCCTGTATTAATTACAGCAGCTAAGGCTAATAACTTCAGCCCCTAAGACAATGATAATCATATCAATAATATTAAAAAAAAGGATCCAATGTCCGTCTTCAGAAGCATTTGGCACCTGTTATCATTTGATTAAACTGTGACTAGAAGACAGTATAGGCTACCCTTAAGGCTAACTCCTTACAACAAGAAGTACAGATATCTTGCAGTACACATTGGGAATGCCTTGGAACACTGACAAATACTGCTGAAAAGGGGATGCAGCCAATAACTTTACAGTCACATAGGCACCAAGCTGTATAGCCCTATACGTCTTCATTTTATGCCCTCTATCTGTGTATGGTGTTACCAAGCTAAAGCACAACTTAAAAAAACAAACCTATACAGCCTCCAGCTTGTGGGATATGCCATACAGAATAAACAGAAATTGATTAAATATGAAAAACTGTGCTTCTATAGAAAATTTTAGTTTCTAGGCTAGCTTAAAATACTGCTTGAACTAGATAACATCTTTATATAAAGCCATTTCTTGGGTCAAACCCTAAGGAGTTAATAAGCAAAAATAACTACAAAAAAGAGGCTTTATTTCTAGATATTTCTTCCTAATGTATTTATTCACTTAATAGCATACTATTTTTAGCTTCCTATACTCTCTTTTGTTTGTATTTGACACAGTAAAGGACAACTTCAAGTTCAGAGGCAAATTAAGCTGCTTTTCTTTTTCCTAAGAAAAGTTAGATAGTTTTCCACTCATGCTTTTAACTTTTTGTTCTTTTAAGCATTTCCAATTGTTGAATAAAAGAAGTGCAGCTCCAGCAGCCTTAAATAAAGATCCCAGAGTTTTCTTACCTTTACCTGAGTTTAAGACTCCTTAAGACTGCTCTTCTTGAATTTCTAGCTAAGCTGGTAATCACCAAAGCATTCAGACACATCCCAACCAAGCAATTGGCTCTTCCATCTTCTTATATCGAGAAAATGAACCTGTGAACATTCAGACATCCACTCCTAATTCTTCTTTCTCTGGGCTTTCAGACTCAAAGCAACCATCAACATAAAAAGCGTGGACTTTACAACTGGCAGTAGAAAAAGCCCCCTGCCTCACCTGGCTCTGATAAAAAGCAGCTGTTTTACACCACTGACCTGCTTGCTGCGCAGAAAACAAGCAGCAGCTGGGCCTATTACAGAATCAGTACCTGCAGCTGGGTCAAGATGCAAACCTTCATATCAGGGTTAATGCTGATCAACCTGTAAGGCTCTTAGAGCTTGCTAGAAGGAGTCTTTTGATAAACAACCTGTCTTTTTTTCATAGAATAAACAAGGAAGAAAAAAAGGTATAATTGAATTTGTTCTTCTATTTTTCAAGAAACAGCCTGAGCTACCTTAGTGATATATAACACTGTTCTAATTGTTTCTATTCTTAGTGCATCTGTGTTTTTTTATACGAGCTCCTCTGGTTGAGATCTTGGCACTTCAAGCAACTTAGTAATACAATTAACATCAGTTATGCATTTGTTTTCTTTGATAAGAGAAGACCATGTAATAGAGCATTTTAGGATCCTTGGCATATATTCCACTGTGTTGTCCTCCATTTCTGTTGGTGCATGCTATGTGTCAGCTGAAAATCAAAAGATGGCCCTTCATTTTACTTTCAGTTACTATCCAATCCATCCAAAAAGAAGGCTTCAGAGTTCTCTGGTTAGGAGCTTAGTAGGGAAAGAGCACCACCTTTTCCAGGATTCTTTATTGCTTTGGCAATCACTGAAAAAGGATACAAAAAATTAGTCCATTCTTTCTCTTCCAACAAGTGGGGAGCCAAAAGATCAAAAAAAATAGAGCACAAAGTTTTTCAGAACAGTCTTGGCTAGACACATTACACAGACCTAGTATATTACATCTAGGCCAATACATTAATCAGTTAGTAAATATTAGAAGACCTGCTCATTCATTTGACTAAATGAGATAATGCTGTCCAGACATTAAAATACAAGGAATGAGACTGTATGCAAACAAAACAGCTGTAATGAATTTCTGATAAATACTTTCAGGCTGAATATGGCTAGAGGATATTACTCTAGGGTAGCAAAAGGATTTCCTTTGCACAGCAGCAATAATCTATATATCCACAGAGAATTTAAATACATGATTGAGATCTGCAGCATACTATTTTCACTGCAGATGTAGAGACAATGCTGCAGCTCAGCTTCTATTAGAAACCAGAATCCCTGAATTCACATCTGGTCTTCAGGAAGACATTCTGTAATACATTTTTTGGAGAAATAGACAAAACATGCTTAAAGGGTTGGCAAGAATGAAAGAAGCAGCCATTTGAATTCAGTCTAATTCATCTGCTACTTTTCAACAAAATATAATACAAAGAGAAAATTGAGCTTCAAGATCTTATATACCTAGTAGATCAATCTAATTCTTTTTTTTTAAGTTAAGTTTTTCTAAATTGTTTGTTCAAGACCAAATATTTCTAATTTTGAATTCTTTTTTCTGTGAAAAAATAAAGCACTAGAGCTTCGTTCACCCTGTCACAAAGTCCCATTACTGACAGCAGGTCTTTACTGTAGCTGTGAAAAGTTTTTGAGTACAGTCTTTTTCTCTAATTCAGATTCTGTGCTCTGATTTGTAATAGTAGTTTAGCAGGTCAGAGAAAAGAATGGGAATGCCCACTTTATATCCCTTTTTTTCTGATGTATCAATGGGAGCTTGGGAATTTTCTGACCTGTTTGCCACTCAAACAGCAGGAAAACAGGCATGCACTTGTATACATGTCTCTACGTGTATGCATATGTTACCATACAATGAGAACACAAATAATAGCAAGGTGTCAGAAGAATCAAGGTTTTTCCCACACCATCTCCTTTTTTGATAAAGCAATGTAGCAAATTACTATAGTTACCTTGACTGGGTACATGTACTTCTCAAAGCAGGCATGTGAGAAGTAAACACCATCCCACCTAGGCACTTTGACAGATTCCTGCTAGTGACATGCCTTTTCTTCACTACTTCCTACATGGCATGAACTGGAGGGATAGCCTGACAAAAGCCTTAGGAAAGAAGGAAGTGAAACTGTTTCATTGCCCCTCTTTAGCCTAATCACAGGACTGTAGTTTCCAAGTTTACAGAGTCTTGCTGGTATCCTGGTCCTGTATTTGGAGAATGTGTGACTGCTATGTTAATATTTTGCTCAGCTCCCCCAAATTAATATTAAGAATTCACATTCTGCCTGCAATAACTCAAATGGAATCCCTATATTACTGTGTTTATTTCTTTTTCATTTTCTCTCTAGTTAGAGAAAACATTTGTATCAACATCTTCAGATATCTCAATGACCATTTCATTTTCAAGGAGCTGTTCCAAAAATGTGGATTTCTTATGGTGCTGGATGCTTGTACTCTTCCACATGCATCCAAATGATGGAAATCACATCATTTACCCTTACCTATGAGATATCCCCTAATTTGATATAGAAGTATAAAAATGTTGTGAGAAATAGATCTCAGCAGATTTTACTGCAGATGCCCTACAAGCCTCTTCCAGTGGAATCATTTATCAAATATGTGAGAACATGTCAGAGTGAGGATTTCTGAGCTTTGCCCTAAATTGCATTTTATATTTGGATTAATGAATGAAGTAATAAATCAAGAAAGACTACTGTACTCTGATTACTCTCAGTTCCTCACATACAACTTCTTTTAATGTCTTACCTGCGAGGCAATGGAAAGAAGCAAGGAGAAGAGACAGCATGGAAAAAGGCATGACTGGAGAGAATCAACTTTTCTTTTTTGTAGTGATTATACAATCGATCAGTAAAGAATAATCAGCACAAGGTATTTGCACTGTTGCCTAAAAGGTGGGTGCAAAACAGAATTCCCACACACACCCATGTAGGCTCTGGGAATGTGTTTTTCAGACATCGCATAATTACTGTCCATTTTCTAAAAAAAGAAAAGATAGGTTTTAAGCCCTATTGGTTCTTTGTCTACAGCAAAGCATGGAAATACATCCCACCAACCTAGGCATTATAATAGGTCTTATTCCTTCCAAAGTAGTCAACTGCCGCTTTACTACTGTCACTAATCAGATATAGTGCTAAAAGTCTTAGTTACAACAGAAGACAGCATTGATTTAACTGTCTAACCAAGCTAAGATAACATCATAACAGATGAACTGAAACCAAGTGAGAACATCTACATGAAGGGGTTATGCCTCTTACGCAATTTATCTTTTTTTAAATTATGCGAATTTACCATATGTACAAACCCAAAATGTCATGGAAATGCGTTAATTTTCATAGTCTACACACAGCTCCTACCAGGTAGTAGGCAAGTAGAATTCTAAAACTTTAATAAAGCAAATCTTCCTTCTATATCTTTATTTTTTTTCAGACATCATAATGTCTTTGGGAAGGAGTGTAAATGAGGTAGAGACATTCCTGGCTCGGAGGACTATACGACTTGTAATCACAAGTGATCTGACAGTGTTTGCACTTCTGTCTCTAGAAAATCCCCCTTGCCCGTCCCAAAGCTTTTTTTTCTCCTTATCCCTCGTTTGCATTCTCTCTTTCATCAAAACAACACAAGTTCAGCATTTCGACAGGTTGTCATCAGTACCATTCCTATCCTGAGGGCTAGATCCATGATGTACAATCGTTCTTCACAGCCTCTTTCATCTCCCCTATGTAGCATAAAGGGGGATGCAAAAATATTTCAATCTTTCTACATGCACACTACTGTAGAAATGGGGGATAACATATTTTAGCATTCAAAAGGGTGGATGCTAGATTAATGACAAACCTGGAAGAAACAGAATAGATAGCCAGGAAGAGATGACATATGGTGCAGGAGAATGGGTTGTGAATCGGTGCTGAAACAAGCCATGTTAGCACTGATGTCACGAAGTCATAGAGTGTTTGCATACCACAGCAAGTGTTTGTTTTCTCCTTAGGGACAGTTTGTGTATGTTATAGCTGACAAGAAGTAAGGTGAGGAAGAAAGAGCTGGTGTGTTTTAGAGTATGATGGGAAAAAAAGAAAAAAGTGTCTTTTATATTTTCTTGTTGCTTGGAGAATAGTTTGCTCACTGCAGTTTAAACAGATTGCAACTGTTGAAGGGTGAAAGTCCTTCAAAAGGAAGGATGTAGGGAAACATAATAGGAATTGTGGGCTAAATTCTGAATGCTGATCTGGACAGGATGCTTTCTGGCAGAAGGCTCTGGAAACTTGAAGTCAAACACATACTGGAGACTTGGGTAGCCATGTGCCAGTAACTTCATGCCAACTCTACTTTAAGTCATTCTATCAACACAGCATAAAATTGCTCAGGCAGTGTTTATCCTAGAGCTAAAAGGAGCAAATTATCTGCAAATTCAGCACACACATACTCACTTGCAGTGCAGTTTGAATCCAAAAATATTCCAACAGTTTGGGGTTTTTTTTACCCCTGTGCACACACAGGGTTTAGAAAACGGTAGCTGATTGCAACCACTGAATAGTCCCACTGATGACAAACAATAGACAGGTCATTTCCCTTTGTCATCTGGGTTGGCTCCATAGAAATAATTAATGCTAAAATCAGAAAGAATTGTTCACTACACTGAGTAGATGTACTCACTGAATATAAACAGAGGACTGCGTAAGAAATGAGTTTAACAGAGCTACATGTTAAAAATAATTATCCTACCAACTCTCTCAACCATATCAAGATTTTAGAAGGAAAAAATATTTTACTAAGTATTGCAAGTGTTAGGAGCTCAGAATTATGATGTTAAAATCAATATTTCAGTGTAGGACTGTCTCTCGCTGCATACTGCACAGTAGCCACAAGAATGTAACTTCCTGTTGAAGTACAAGAAGAAATTAAAATGTGGTTCATGCCAGAAGTTCACATTGCAGACAATCGATGTTATTGTTAACCTGACGTTTTTTATGTAGAGGTTTCTTTTCCTAATTGGAAATCCCTAACAAGTACTCTAAAAGAAACAGATAAATGGTGAATTTGTATGTATACAGACATGCCCAGAACAGGTTAATACTCTTC